TTATATACACAGTTTCAGTCAGTTATATGTACAATCTTTACTTGTTTTAAAGTTTAAAGTTGAAGCTTTGTGGAGGGAATGGAGAAAGGAAAGCCCTCCAGGGATCATCTTCCATATTGTGATTTCAGACAGGGACTTTGGTGAAACAGCTAGCACGGACAAACCAAAGCGGAGCTCAGAATTTAGTGAAAGAAAACTGGCACCAGCTGACTTCAGTGGCATCTACAGCAATGGTGAGAACACAGATTCGTACAGGTCTCTATCATCACAGGAAGAGCAAGTGAAGATTCCAGTTAGCAACATTTTAATAAATAAATGATGGGTGGTGCTGTCACTTGGTGTTGGCTCTCTCTGCTGTACAGTCTCACTTACTCTTTCTGTTACATCTCACAGTGGTGTATTGTGTAGCCCATTTAATAAAAAATGTTTAGATAATGTCCTATTACACAAATCTGGCCAAATTTATTAAATCCCCTGCAAAATAATTGTCCAGGGTTGAGACCAGAAGGCAGAGTTGCAGTCTTACACGCCTCTCTGCAGCTTCTCTCCTCCTGTTATACTCCCAAAACCCCATTCCTATAAAGACTGTTTGACCACTTAAAAACAAACCAAATATCATCAAACGTTTATTTCAACATTAAAGAAATAACAAGGAAGGTAGAATATGATTTAATAATTCATCAATATATTGATTTATTCTGCCTTACAGAAAGCTGGTTACAGCAGAATGATTATATTATTTGACATGAATCAACATCCCGAGTCATACTAATTGTTAGAATCCTCGAAGGCAGAGGAGGAAAAGTATAAACAACTTTATTAATCAATCATAAAGACCCAGACATATGGAGAGAAATTTACCTCAAAAGTGTTATGAATTCATACAATATGACCATAAACAAAGATTTATCAATCTGTACTGTGATTTGTGTGTATTCTTTGAGGACTTGCATATGCATGCTCAAATCCACGCACAAATACACAGATATGTGACAACATGTCAATTTCTCAAACTTACATTGTACTGATGTAGTGCATCCAGTGATTTAGTACATCTATGTAGATACTGAAAATGACATCCTCAACATGGCATTTAATCT